GGGAGGGAGATGATTTGATGGGAGGGAGATGATTTGATGGGGGGGAGATGATTTGATGGGAGAGAAGGAGGGGGGAGATGATTAGGGGGGGAAAAGAAGAGAAGATTATGGGGGAGAAGAAGCGATTACAGGGAGGGAAGGGGGGAGAAGAAAAGATAACAGGGGGGAGAAGAAGAGGAAAACACAGGGGGAGAAGAAGAGGAGAACACGAGGGGTGGGAGATGAGAACGTAGGGGAGGGAGAGACCACTAAAGGAGGGAGGGGCGGTGGAGAGACCACTAGGGGAGGGGTGTGAGGTGAGACCGCTAAGGGAGGGGGGTGGAGGATAGACCACTAGGGGAGGGTGGGGGGAGAGGAGAGACCATTAAGGGGCAGGGGAGATCTCTAAGGAATGGAAGGGAGAGCACTATAGGACATGGGGACAGGGGGACAGGGAGCTCTTTCACACCACGCGCGCACACACACACACACACAATGCATCCCTATACACACAGAAACACAACATGCTTCCCTTACACACAGAGAAACACACAATGCAACCCTTACACATAAAGACAATGCAACCTTTGCACATATACACAGAAACACACAATGCATCCCTTACACACACATGCAAACACACACTGCTTCTCTTACACACACACACAGAAACACAATGCATCTTACACACACTCAACGCACCCCTTACAGACACACACACTGCATCCCTTACATACAAAGAAACACACTTTGCATCCCTTATGCATACAAACACAGATTCACACAATGCATCCCTTACACACAACAAGAAACACACAATACATCCCTTATACACACACACACTGCTTCCACTACACACAAACACACTGCATCACCTACACAAACTGGTATCCCTATACACTACATTCCGTAAGCACACACATTAGATCCTCTACAGTAACACATAACAAATCCCCTACACACTCTACTCCCTGTGAGTTCATGGGTGGAACATGTAGGTGGCCTTATGGGTGGGCTTTATGGGCATACTCACCGTCAGGCCCTGGGGCCCAGACCTTGAGCTACGTAAGAGGCCCCAAAAAATGGAGCTGCTTCCCGTTCTCCCAGAACATTGAATTTTGTGACCACAGTTACAAACAGCCTCCAGAGATCCTGTTCTACACCAGACCAGTGGAGCCAGACTGCAGCCAGAGCCCATCACCATCCTCATCTGATTGTAAGTAGGCAATCTAGTATATTATTAGTGACACTAATCTCTAATTTACCTCACATTAAATGGACACTATAGTCCCCAGAACCACTGCAGCTTAATAAAGTTGTTCTGGTGTCTATAGTTTGTCCCTGCAGGCTTTTCAATGTAAACACACACTGTGTGCAGCACTGGCATTAGTTCATATGGGTGGGGCATTTGCGATGTTCCGGGGGGTAGGGGGGGCGGCAAATCCTTCTTTTGCCTAGGGCGGCAAAAATCCTTGCACCGGCCCTGCATACAGAACATGTATATACATGTAGGAGGAGAAAGGTGGTCTAAACAGCTGGGGAACCCCCTGGAGACTGCCGAGAAGTATATGCAGTAGAACTAGTGAGGGAGGGAGCGTGAATGTAGTGCTCCCTCCTCCACTCGGCGGACACACGCGGTCCGCAATTGCACTAGCCGCGACCGGTGGCCACGTGGTGGAAGCTCCGGTCAGTGGGTAGAGTGCTCGCAGGCGAGCACCCTGCGACCGTAGGCAGAGAAAATTACACGGGACCGCTGGAGACATACTCCGCGGTCCCGAGGGTTCGGGGGATCGGAAGAGGCAGCAAATGGCCAGCGCCACGAAGCCCTCGAGCCAAGTGAGAATCCCCATCGGGGGGGGAAGAACGGGGAATAAGAGAGGGGACAGGGAGAAGGGATAGAGGCCCCAAGGGGAAGTAGAAAAGGCTACACTAACCCCTGACAAAGGGGTAGACAAGGATCCCTAAAAGAACCCCAGTCCCCAGACAAAATATATTAAATATATAACAATAAGGCATATAAAATACAAAATCCCAAAGCCACCCACTAATATTAGCAGGAGGCAGTGGTACTCTGACCTGTACTGATGCGGAGCAGCAAAGAAAGAGGAAATGGAATGTTGGGAAGGGAGTTATATGGTCTCCTTGCTGTTTTCTGATTGGTTGTTTACTCTCTGGTGTTTTGCTGCTATGGAGTTCTAGTAAAGAGAGACTTAAGCAAATATGAAGCCTCCTGTCATGTTATAAAATTAGATTAAGTTAGGGATAACATTTAATGAAAAGGACTCAGGAACAACTATAGATCACAAACTAGGCAACAGTATGCAATGCTGGTCTGCCAAAAAGCTAGTAAGGTGCTTTCTTGTATAAAAAAGCGTATTGATTCACGTTATCAAAATATAATTTTGCCTCAATGGTAAGACCCTACCTTGAATATGAAGTGCAAATTTGGGCGCCATTTTTAAAGAGGGATATTGGAGAACTAGAACAAGTGCAGAAGGGAACTACATAATTACTATAACCTAACCTGTTAGCATTAGATGCAATATACAACAAACAAGAAGTCACTCATTATGACTGGAAGAAATGTGTTTTCACTTGCAGCAGAGGAAAGGGGTTGTGACAAACGCTCCTTCTCACGTATGTTTACCACAGACTCCTGGAGGAGTGTAGAAGCTGGCCTCCTGCCCACTGACTATGGTCCAGGTCTGGGACACCATTTGCGAGTTATTATATATGTAGCGGGCTAGAGGACCTAACTACACTGCATGGAGTGCTATTTGGAAAACTTGGACACTCAAATCAGGGCTATCTAAGACTTGTTACAGCCCTGTTGTGGGACTGTCTATTTCTATGGGGGGAGATTTGTGATGGATGGCCTGATTTGTTTGGAGCAAGCCACAAGCTTACGGCGCCTTTTTTGTGACTGTTTTCCATGTATCTAGATATTGCTGTATTGTGTACCTGTATTCTACATAGAGTAGTGTGTGTGTCTCTTTATATACAGCTGTGGGTCAATAAAGGAGGAGGGGGGGAGCAGCAGCTATATAAATTATAAAGTATAGTTAGGTGTGAAATATATTCTGTGTGTTAAGTTAAATACTGCACTGTGAGTGACTACCTGCTGTGGGAGCTAGCAAGTCTATCTACTACACCAAAAGACTGTGTTGATGTAACCAGAGATTGCTCTGAAGGGACAGTGGGTCCAACCACGGTAACTAGTGTAAGGAAGCACTTTGTTGCTTTGTAGTTCTTTCTCTGTGACCTGTTCTGTATTCCCATAGGTGAAAGTTTTGTGTAATTGGGTCTGTGTATAACTTGGCTGTACCATGTCTCATTAAAGATCAGCTCAGTTGACTCCCAGAACTATGTTTTGTCTGGTTACTGTGGGAATGGATGTCTGTATGCTTTAATGGTTTCAGAGTTGCTGAAGGAAGGAATTAGCGGAGGTAACCAGTCGGGTTACCCATAGTTCGCTACAGGGGTCTTAACAGTAGGAACAATAAAGATGTGGAATTATCTGCATAAAGAGGCTGTCTTATGAGATTCTATAAATAATTTTAAAATAAAGATTATTCCTTAACCCCTTTTTTTTTTAGTAAAAAACATTTCAATATTTTGCTGGGTAAAGTTAGGCAAAAATGGCATTTACTAGTGTCTGTATCTAATAAAGTATTTAGGCATACAAAACCTAGAGAGATGAAAAGATTCTATAGACAAACAGAAATAGTGACAGGGAATGGTATTTATCACATAGACTAAGCAAGTTAAGCTAGGCAGGCATAGGCTTGGCGTATCTTGGCTTAAACCTTCTGCAACCTTTTACTGGCCATCTGCTACTTGTTAAAGTACCTGTTTCTACTATTCAAAAACTAGGGGCATATTACATTATCCAAAGCAAAAAAAAACTAAGAAACAAATAAAATAAAAAACCTCCTCAAATGAAACACTAAAAATCACCAATTACTTGTTTTAACCTTTTTTTAGATGCTCTTTTTTCTTTGAAATGTATATTAAAACGGAGTAAATTACATTATAATCCAGTTTAAATTTCAGAGAAGTGACAGTTCCCCTTTAAAAGGATATGGATAACAGAGTCACTTCTGACTTACATACATTCATAAGTACTCTACCAGCCAGTTATTTGTTCTTGTTTCTATATTTCGCTACATATCTCTAGTTAGACACATATAGAGCAGCTCTGCAACAATCTACAGGTGTACAGGTGATACTCGAAAAATTAGAATATCGTGCAAAAGTTCATTTATTTCAGTAATGCAACGTAAAAGGGGAAACTAATATATGAGCTAAACGCATTACATGCAAAGCAAGATAGTTCAAGCCGTGATTTGTTATAAGTGTGCTGATTATGGCTTACAGCTCCCCAAAAAAAACCCCAAGGACTAATGGGCATACAGGTAATTTAGACTGCTAACCAGTGAAAAAACAGGCAGCTTGATGTTTTCCAGGATGTAATCAAACGTAATAAAAGTACCATAATACAGACAGTGAGTAATTAACTAAATAGATATGTGACGTGAGGGCCATGAAAAGCCAGACCTAAAGAGCGTACGAGACAGTATTGCAAATAAAAACAAGCATTAATATATTTTATAATTCTAAACCACCAAACTTGACAAGCACGTAAAATTGAAACCATAACACATGCCCAATGTTTGTAATATGTGGATAATAATGAAACAGTGAATAGTTATAATCAAACTAACACTGTGGGGACATGTAAATGGCTAGCAAGAGTTAGCTTAGACATGAATAAATGAACATTGAGCCACAATAATGAGTTTAAATAAGTTCAATGAAGTATTTAATTATCACCAGTCCGAAACCCATTTTAGTGGATAAACCCCTAAAAATAGAAAAAGGGAGTCATTTGCAAAATCCCAGGTTTAAGTCAACAACAGATGTGAATTAATGTGAAATGAATATCATGATAAGCAAACTATAGATAAGGAAGTACTTAGATGACATGAAAGTATCAAAATGGTAAATATTTCAGCAAACAGTCTCGGATTTGCATTGATCAGAGCTCAAACACTCGAAAATCAAGGAGAACGAATGAAATACCAGCCAACCGAACAAAAACATGATTAACTGAAATTCATGTGAATGCAGAGTGGCTTGAGAAACATACTAAATGTAACGGTGTTGAACAATACCTACTCGTTGCAAACGAAAATGTTTATGCGAACATTCAGTTATTAGAATGCATGCGAAACATAAGAAAAAATACAAAACCTGATTTCAATGAAACACAGCGAAAGGCACGAAAGCTCCTATGGTGCACCGAACACCGTATGTATGGGTACGAAATAGCACGAACACCAGCAGCGGGCCTTCGGGAGAAAGCCTCTTGTTACCTGTGAAAACCACAAGACAGGAACTAGGAAGTGGACTGGCAACGAGGCTCTGATGCGGATTGAAGTAAGCTGGTAACCCGGAGTGGTCGGATTTCATGGCTATAGGCAAGTACAGGAAAACATTTTGGCGGAAAGAGCCAAACCAGAAGTCCATGTGGTAAACAAGGTAATGTATCACCTGAAGGTAAGAGGGTAGTGGGAGTTTTTATAGCATAAGATAGATTCAAACTCCTCCCACAAATAGAGGCCTATGGCCTTAAAACATATATATATATATATATATATATATATATATATATATATATATATATATATACAGAATCCAGTGCACTCGCTTATTCATTAAACAATGATTTCAAATCTTAGAGATTGTAATAGTTTTATTTAAAAACACCTCACCTAGGCAAAAAATGATGGGGGTTTAGTTACATTATATGATCATACATTGCATAAGCCTGCCAACTACGTCAAAGTACCCCATTCTTGGCAGGTCCTACACTAACAGTTTACCACTTTGGTAAACATAAATGGTGGTGTACATAAACCTTAAAACAAAAATGAAATATAAAACGATAATAGTGCAATATGTCAGTTAAATGATGTGTATATATATAATAAAAGGAGAACCAGTAAAAAGGCTAACTCACATTCTGCAGAGCTACTGAGAGCTCTGCCGTATAGTTCTTGTTTTTATACATATACACAGCTGTGGATCTTTGGATATTACATCCCACCATTATCCTTATATCCCAAGATGGGTATTATACCGTCCAGGTGCTATATGGTAGTGCTCTCAGTAGCTCTGCAGAGTGTGAGTTAGCCTTTTTACTGGTTCTCCTTTTATTATATATATAATTAAAATATGTAAATG